CTCACCACTTGTAAAACCATCATAACTAACATACATCAAGATAGGGGCTTTTGATTACATAATGTGAACACGAGCAATGAGTTAACACCTCATTGCAAATCATCTCTCCAAGAAGAGAAAATGATTTACGTGTTTGATCTTTTGTCCCTGATAACTCTCTTTTCAATCTCATTTTTGACCAAACCTTAAGTTTGCTTTTGCACTACTTTCAGTCTAATCCAAGAAAAGTTTATAAGAGAGCACGGCAATGACAACTTAAACCAATAGACTAATCCCTATAATCTTGATTGATCCACTTATAATCATGCCTAGGAAGGAGCCATTAGTGCCGTATTAAACAGCTATGGACCAATCTATTTGCCACTCATAGCTATGAGACACAAATCCCTAAGCCCCAAAGTGGAGCCGAAAGAGTGCCACGTGGTAGTGGCTGAAATGGAAACCAAATGAGTGTAACACGTTTGGACTAAAAACTTTGACTTGGATAGTTGAGAGTGGGAGTGGAACTCCTAACGAAGTGTTCAAGGAACAAGCACGAAGCATATAGTAAGTGAGTCTCTAGAAAAGGGACACAAGAGGACCAACATATGGCACATGGAAAAGTTTGAGATGGAGTTTGAGATGGACCCGAGATGGAATCTGAGGTCAAGATTGAGACTAAAACCAAGACCAAGGTCAAGACTGAGACCGAGACCGAGATTGAGGCCGAGACCGAGACCAAGGCCTAGACCAAGACCGAGGCCAAGACCGAGACCTTTCCAATTTGCTAACTTACCTTGTTTATTTGACCACCTTGGCCTTGGCCTTAATTAAGTTCCCTCATCAAGGTCCCCACCTATTGTACTAGCTCCTACTTGGTCCTACTTGGTAGCAATAACTCACTGCATAAGTAATAAAGTGTTATCCATCCATCCATAGTCTCCCAAATTTTCTCCCAATTCCCTTCCCCGGGTTAGATTAGACTTAAGGTTTAGCTACACTCCCTACAGGCACAAGTAGTCAAACACACCAAGCCTCCAGATTCCTAACATCCCTTGGTACAACAAGACTTGATCATGGGACCCTTTAAATCTCAAGCCTCGGGTGCAACAATTGCCCCGGGACACCAAGGGGAAACACCATGGCCTAACGCCCTGGCATGGGTACCCTTACTCCCCCACTTCCATCATGAAGGGAAGGCCCAAGCCCTTAGGAAGGGCAAGGACCAATGAGCCACAAGGTACTCAAGTGGGGCACTGCTCCACATGAGTCAAGAGCATTGCAGTCAGTTTCCTTTCCAGGAGTGGGAGTTGCTCTTGAGCACTTCCATGGGTGGCCCTTCCGACACCACTTGAGTCCATACTCACTCCCACCCAAGACCCCTCAACCCCAATCTCAACCTCAAGTCAGTTTGGAAGCACCACTGGAAAGTTCCTTCAAGACTAGTTCTTGGACCTCACTATCCCTACTATACTTTTGGAACCCCCTACAACTCCCCTTTGGGAGACACATGCTTTGGGCCTTCACCCCACAACCTGTATTAGTATTCGGACTTAGTCTCAAACTTGATCTTGAACTCAGTCTTGGACTCGATCTTCGACTTGGTCTTGGACACGATCTCGGACCCAATCTCGGACTCTATCTCGAACTCGGTCTCGTACTCAATCTCGAACTCCGTCTTGGACCCAATCTCAGATTTTGGACTTGGTTTCAATCTTAGTCTCGAACTCGGTCTCGAACTCGATCTCGGAGTTTGTCTCAGACTCGATCTTGGACTCGGTCTCGAACTCAATCTTAGAGTCAGTCTTAGACTTGATCTTATCCGATGAACTCTTTATCATATTGGTCATGTTTTCAGGGATCTTTTAGCCTTTGACACCTTAGTGAGTTGGTTCCTTACATCACAGTCCACAGACCAAATAAAAAATGACATTGACGACTTTCGCAATATTCACAATGATGCAATGCAATTAGAAAAATAATCAACAAAACAACCGAGATACTTTACCTTGCCCAGGAAGTGTTGCATATCATTCATACACTTCAGGGTAGGGAACTTTAGAATGGCCATAAGTTTGTCAAGATTAATTTGAAAACCCTCACGAGAAATATGGTACCCAAGATATATCGTGTCTTTAAACTCAAACACACACTTTAACCACTTCAACTTTAAACCAACTTTCTATAACTAATCCAACACGTTACAAATATTACAAACGTATTCCTCTCATGCCCCTTCGAGTGGATCAAGACATCATCGATGAAGTCAACAATGACCTCTGGCATATCATAAAGAACCCCATCCATCATCCATTAAAAAATTGTTGGAACATTGTTCAAACCAAACGACATCACCAAGAACTCCTACAAACTAAATAGTGTACAAAAAGAAATTTTAAGAATATCTTCTTTGGCCATCTGTATTTGCTAATACTCTGAAGCAAGATCTAACTTGGTGAACCAATGAGTTCTCCTTAGACAATCCAAGAAATAAGCAATGTAAGGAAGAGGGTACATATTCGGGATTGTCACTTCGTTTAATAAATGATAGTCAATGCAGAAACAAATACTCTTATCAAGTTTCATCACAAGATGGGGTTCACACGCTTAAGAACTTTGTAACTTTTAAATAACAGTATTTTCTAACATCTTCTTAATGTTTGCATATAAAATTTTGATCTCTTTGGGTGACCAAAAATGAATAGAAACCTTAATTGGACGAGCATCCCCAGTTAAAATAGGATGAAATATTGCAATTTTAGCCCTAGATGATAAATCAAATTCAAAGAGATTGGTATACTCCTTCATGAGTTGGTTAACTGCTACAACATAAAGACTGTCAAAAGGATAGAAGAAAGATAAGACAGAAATATAAGAGGAAGTAATGGGGAGACAAAAGTGAAAGGTAATAAAGTGAAAGGAAAAAATATAAAAAAGTATGAGATAAGGGGGAGAAGCTTCAAAGTCACACTCAACATAATTACACTGTAACTAATTTATAACAAGGATGGGGTCAAAAGTTTAACTCGGCACCACCCTACAATGATTGCAACTCAAACTCGAGATCGTCTATATGCATAACCAAATTTGCCTCATCCCATGCACATGCATATGTATTGCCATTGCCATAAAAAATGAAAACTGGCTCTGCTACACAATGTAAATATAGACGATAACATATGGCAATAGGCCGAGCAATAGAAAATAAACTCAAATTTGTATCAACCAACACAAAGACAATAATAGAAGATCTCTTTTTTATAAACGAACTTGGAAAGTAAACACTAAATGAACTGGTGCCGAGTGAAACCCTTGATGATACTCCTGAAAAGAAGATGGAGGGGTCACTAACTTTTATTTGTGCAAGATCTTTCCATTACTCATGTGACTCTTTGTTTCCCAACAATATAGCATCTCAGTGTCCAAACCTTCCACTACAACAACATTAACAGAATGTTGTTGATGCCAATGTCTCCACCTAGGAACTAGAGGTTGCCACTTTGGAAACACCAACAACGTCAATAAGTGTGACCAACTTCATCATATGCTTAGCAGTAGACATCACGGCCATGGCCACAACCATGTCCTCGCTTTTGTCATTGAATTTGGGTAATAATAGCATCAATCTCCATTGGAACATGACCATCTCCCATAGAAAGTGGGGCTGAAGGATGTGTAGCAAAAAGTGGAACAAATGACATCTCATAATGATGTGCCAAACAAAGAGCATTGTCAAGGGTGGTTGGAGCAAATGCATACACAAGTTCTACAAGATTTTAATGAAGTATTGACCATAACATTATTAACTTGATCTGCTCCAATATATTTGGCTCTGTATGAGGCTATAAAAATGAATGCCAAATTACATCACCAATTCAAGTAGCCCTTGACAAAGACAATTCAATTGTTGGAAGACATCATCACAATCGTCAGCAAAACGAAAACATCTAGGAGAATACTCTAATCCACACGAGTGGTTGCGCTTAAGCCATTTGTAAACTCTTGAATTTGGACCCTATAGATTGTCTCTCAAGTCATTCTCTTTAATTACTTATAATCTACCACACTTTCCTTCAAGTTCATGCCTTCGTGAACGAAAGGTCTTGAATGTAAACTCCTGAATTTAAACTTCCCAAGAGGTCACCCAACCTAATACTATTCAAACCCAATAACATTTAACCCCAAATATCCTAAAACTCTTAACCAATTGAAAAAAAAAGGATGCACTCTTATTCATGTTCCCTTTATATTTGAACTTTATAGATCATCTCTCAAGTTGTTTTTTTTTGTTGCTTACACAATTATACCACTGCAACATTACATGGAAAATTCATATAAATGCCAAACTATATCCCAAGAATAATATATCACAATCGCTATAAAGTGATCAAACCAATGGTATATATCATCCTTAGGATTCCCACGGAAGAACTCTGGCTGGATATAAGGATTGGCAGCAAGAGCAAGAGAAATTGTATCATGCGTTGTGAATATTGCTATCAACTGAATTTGGTTGTTCAATTTTAATTGCATATCATCAAGCAATTGCACCAACTACAACTCCAAAGTCAAAAGAGAAGGAAATTGCTACTTTGCCATGAAGATGAATGAAAAAGGAAAGAATAAAAAAAAAAGAAATAGAAAAAGTTAGAAGAATAAGAAGATCTAGATAATGCAAACCTAAATCTAAACTAAAATCCCAAATTTAAGTACTTCTTAGGGACAATTAAAGTTGCCCTTCACCTCCACTAATATGAGTGTATGGAATACGAAAATTGAATATAAAAATATATATATCAATAAACCCAAAAACCTTAGTTTATATACAGTAGTGATTGAAACCAATCTACTAGCTACTAAAATCCCACTATGCTAATATTAATATACAATATCAAAATTGTACATCTAAATTTTCATTATCTTTTATTTTAGGGTTTTAGTTTAAAAATTTTTGGCTGATAAAACTTGCAGAATATACAAAGTTCTGTCGGGCGTGAGCAAGGGAGGGCATTCTTGGAGCCATGGTGGCGGGCGCACCTCTGGATTTTCGATTCCTCGACGAGGGGCTAGGCGGCGCCAAGAACAAGAAGCGCAAGCGCGATGCCGATCAGGTGGCGATTGATGTGGAGGACCAGCAGCAGGAGGAGAAGCGGCAGGCGATGGCTGAGGGAGATTCCAGGCCCGTCTACGGTAAGCCCAGCTACGACGCGTGATCGCAGGGAAGGTGTCGGGGCACAAGTGGAAGGAGGTGAAGACGTGCCGCGCGTCAGCGCTGCGGGTGAGCGTCGAGGGCAGCAGCCTGGAGGAGCGCGCCACAAGCGCATCGCGGCGGAGTTCCGGGAGCGCAAGCAGCAGCTCAAGGAGCAAATCCGGGCCAACAAGAAAGAGGCTGGAGGACTACAAGAAGAGGAAGGAGGAAAACGTTAAGAAGTCGGGTTTGAAGCTCCAGAAGGTGACCAACCTCAAGAAACTCCAGAAAATGTCCAAGAGGGAAAAGAAGAAATTGGTGACCGTGGCAGAGTAGTAGTTTGGTGGCACAGCACGGCAATTAAAGGTGGCAGTGTGTCGCACAGATCTGCGAGAGAGTAAGTGCTAGACTCGATTGTTAGATCGATCGATAGTTTTATTTTTTCTCTCCTGTTTTTTGTCGCTTTAATTCCTTGTTGTTGGCTGAGAAGGACCAGAGATTATCGCCGGGCTCTTCTCTCAGACCGATCTGCAAAGATTTTGCAAAGAAAGAAAAAACAATTCTAGAGCCTCGGATGTTGCAGTAGATGGAAGGCCCAGCTACTCATGCAAGTGAGCTACAGTGGTGTTGATTTCCTCAACGTTTGCGAACAGCTCTTCTCCACTCGGTACTTGACTTTCGGCCTGGTCGATTTGGCTCGGCTCGGCTGCTTTAAAGGTTTCTAATGGTTTCCTGGACTGTTTCGGATCGTATTGGATTGGACGGACTGACAAAATCCTCCCTAGAGTGTTGGAACCCGAGAGCAAGTCGAGAACGTTGGACAAGCAAGAAACCTTACATCCGGTTAGAAGCAAGCAGGAAAGCAACGCAGCAACGACAGACAAATTCGTTAACTTTTCATTAGATGTACACAATAATTAGCCAGGCAGCAGCAGCAGCAGCAGCACAGGGAAGAAGGAAAAAACAAGAAGAGCTGGATGATGTCGAGAAAAATGGACTAACCCACAAGAGATCTTGAAAACTTTGAACATCCCGCCCCGCGTTCTGAGAAAAAGGAAGAAGGAGCTGAAAGGAAACAAGAAGGAACAGGAAGTGTGTGCTCGCTTGATCGGGCTAGCGAGTTAGCGTAGCTCAGAAACTGGGCGTTCCGGACCAGCCATCGAGACACTTCAACAAGGGAGCAACAAGCTTCCCCTGGCAGATGGCATCGTAGACTTTGGTGAAGTCCTCGCCGGGCGTTCCACTCTTGGTCCCCATGAGCAGCGCAGTTCCAGCACCTTTCCTCACAAACTCATACAGCGGCGCCGAGGCACAGTCGAAGATCCGGTTTGGCAGCACCGCGTTACCGCTCTCGTACGCCTCCCTGGCCGCCGGGACCTCGACACTCAACGCCGCCTTGAGCTCCTCCTCGAACAGCCCGATCTTGTGCAACACCGAGGAGCTCGTCTCCTTCTCGTCCCCGATGTTCTTCAAGGCGTGCTCGACGAGAACCTGGCGGAGCTTCTGCATGAGCGGGTATCCAGCGCTGGCCGGATCATCGATGTAGGTGAAGACGTGCTGGTTGTCCACCACGGACAGGAGCTCCTTCTCGCAGAGGCGCGACGGCAGCAGCGCTCCGGCAGCCCCGGTGGTGAGCGTATTCTTAACGGCGTGAGAGACGGTCTGCTTCACGGTGGCTTGCAAGTTCTCCTCGAGGTGGCGGAGGTCGATGGCCTGGCACAATGCCACCAGATACGTCGACGACATGAGCTTGAGGATGTCGAGAGCTTCCACCGTCTTGCGAGCCGAGACGAGGCCGAGAGAGTTCACGTCCTGGTTGTGCTGCTCGGCGCTCTGGACGTGGGTGGTGACCGGGTTGGCCAGGTACTGGAGCTCCGAGGTGTACGAGGCCATGGCGATCTCGGCACCTTTGAAACCATAGTCCAAGCTTGGGTTGGATCCGCCGCTCAAGTTGGAAGGCAGGCCGTTGTTGTAGAAGTCATTGACGAGCTCCGAGAACTGCGCGAACATGAGCTTCCCGATGGCCGCCACCGCCAGGCGCAAGTTATCCATGGACACACCGATGGGCGTCCCCTGGAAGTTGCCGCCGTGGAGGGCCTTGTCGCGAGCAACGTCGATGATCGGGTTGTCATTCACGGAGTTGATCTCGCGCTGGATGGAGTGAGTGGCGTGGCGGATGACCTCGATCTGGGGGCCGAGCCACTGCGGGGAGGTCCGCAGCGCGTAGCGGTCCTGCTTGGGCTTCTTGAGGGAGTCGGTCTCGTGGAGCTTGGCGGCGGCCTTCATGTAGGAGCTCCCGGCGAGGACGTGCTCCATGATGGCGGCGGCCTCGATCTGGCCGGGGTGGTGCTTGAGCTTGTGCGTCAGCGGATCCGTGAACTCGGGCTTGCCTTGCATCGCCTCGCAGAACATCGCGGACAGGATCTCGGCCAGGAGCGCCAGGACGTTGGCGTCGAAGCAGGCGATGGAGGCCACCGCCGCGCCGACTGCCGTGCCGTTGACGATGGCGAAGCCTTCCTTGGGCTGGAGCTCGAAGGGCTGCTCCACGCCGACGAGCTTCAGCGCCTCGGTGCTGTTGACGACCTTCCCGTCCGGCAAGACGGCGCGCGCGTTGGATCGGCCGCTGAGCAGCCCGGCAATGTAGCTGAGAGGGACGAGATCGCCGGAGGCAGTGATCGTCCCGCGGAGTGGGATCCGCGGCACGATGCCCGAGTTGACGAGCTTCTCCATGGCGGACAGGATCTCCCACCGGATGCCCGAGTAGCCCTGGAGGAGCGTGTTGGTGCGCACCAGCATCGCGCCGCGCGCGAAGGCCAGCGGGAGAACGTTGGTCGAATCGTCGTCGCTGAAGATCCCGGCGTTGAGGACGCGGATGAGCTCGCGCTGGAGCCCCACGCCCTGGTTGATCCGGCGGTGGGAGGTGGCGCCGAATCCAGTCGTGACGCCGAGGATGTCGGTCCCCTTCATCGCATTGTCGAGTACCCAGTTGGAGCTCTCGTCCACCCTCTTCTTGGCGGCGGCGGAATCCAAGCGTACCTGGGCACCGCGCTTGGCCACCGCCGCCACCTGGGCGATGGTGAGCGTGGTGCCCTCGATCGGGAAGCTGGGCTTGGCGGCGCCGTAGACGGTGTGGGCCATCTCGCGGACCTCCTCGAGGTGGCTACCCGACATCGCCGCCGCGGCCTTCTTCCAGCTGAGGGGATCGGCGGTGTCGTAGCGCGGAGTGGAATTGGTGGGATCTGGCGACACCCGGACGAGCGGCGAGTAGGAGGAGGTTGTGTCGCTGCCGTTGGCCACCATTTTCGCTTCTTCCCTGTGAGCTTCTCCTCGATCGATCGATCGATTGAGGGAGGATTTGTCTAGCTCCTGCAGCAGGGGAGGAATGAGAAGCCCAAATTGAGAGCGCCGGTGCGTGGAATCGATTGCCCGGCCTTGCCCTGTTCTCCGATCGAATCGCCGCCTCTTTGCTCCGATCGAATCGAATGTTTGCGCTCTTCTTTGTGTGTTCTTCCTCTTCTTTTGTGCGTTGGAAAAAGAGAGAAGAGAGAACACTGATCTATGCCAGCGTTTGAACTACCCTTTATACCCGCGCTGCCGCCCTCGGATGAGGGCCCATCCGACGGCTGCGCGGTCATGGCCATGGCCATGACTGGCATGACGTGGCAGCAAGATGCTCCGAGAATATTCTGGGCTGCGTCCTAACCCCTAGTTCGCTGTAAGAAATTAAAACACATGGGCGGTAGAATCCTACCGTACGCACCTCGATTTTCGTACGAACTGTCACCAACCGCGGCGTCCAGGTGGACGACCGGATTGTCAAGTTCGCGTGGCTGACGGGTGGATGGACTGGTGGGGGCATGGGGGCATGCGGGCTCATGGTGAATATCTATCTTTTTCTTTTCTTTCTTGTGTGTATGTGGGGTTGTGATGTGCTGCGTGGAGAGACTAGCCACCTCCCCTCTATGTTTCGATCAATCTGAAATGCCTTAAGAGTTATTTGCTTTGGTGGATTGATCCACAGTGTTTATGCAATATACCTATTATGGTTCTCTAGCATGCATTGTGTAGTTTTCTATCTTCCTTGATTTCCTAGTACCACACGCTTAACAATTAAAGGAACTATTTGACAGGTGATTTATAATGGTTTAAATATGAAAAGAAGAGGTGTATAAATAAAAGTGCATTTTATTTTTCAATCGATTAAAGGTTTTGAGATATTTTGGGTTTGAGTAATATTGGGCTAGATGAAGTTTAAATTTAAAATTTTACATTTGGTATCATAGGGATTTTAGGTTTGACTTTGGAAAAGTTTACTATTAATAGTTTACATCTGGTATCATAATGGTTTTAAGAATTATACCACATGTTGAGATTAAGATCTAGTAAGTTTAGCTTGCTTCTAGCTGGCTCAAGCTAAGGGGTAGGATGTCACTAAATCTCCTTAAACTCTTAAGTATTAGTCCTAATTTTCAGATCCATATGAGAATCAGCTAACATTACAAGAAGATATTAAATAGCAAAACAAAATGCTAGAAACACTAGAATTAAGATTAATGTGTTATATGCATGCTAAGATTCAACACAACTCTTGATCCAATGGACAATCAAAAGAGGGTAACATGAACAATATGGGATGTTCTACATTCTTCTCATTGTCTCGTTCGTCTTGCTATATCACCCATCTCATCACTTTAGATCAGTCAAGGCCATAAATCAAGTGAAAGGTGGTGCAACAAAGAAATCCTTGTTGATCTAGTTGTCAAACCCTTATAAAAATCATACATAGATTTTAATAATGTAAATTCTTTTGTAAATACTTTCGTTGAAACTATTAGTCTCTTGTAGCATTTGCTTGTTAGTGTCAAAGGATTTTAACATTAGAATCAAAACATTTTGACACTTGAGGTATGTTAATGGTGAAGCGCTCTATGACAATATTGCATGTTACGGAACATAACAAGTGGCTTCAAGTTTTGTGATGGAGTCACTTAGGAGATGGATGGTGTAAGCGACTAATTTTTTCCATTATACTTTAGTCACTTAACCATACCTCCAACCACTTGGAGGAGTCTCATTCACAACCTCCATAAGTCCAATTCCGGACTTGGGGCTTGCTCACCCCGAGAAGGGCATCCATGCCCCTCAACCTTTGCACTTGGTCTAAGTGCTCCACGTGTCTGATCCCATGATCAACACTCCAAGGTACCACCAACATACCAGCCCGTTATGCTAGGCCATG